CAGGGTCTTTTTTTTTTTTTTTAAGTCGACATGTGCCGGTTAGAAAATACAAGCTCCCCTGGCTGCTTCGTGCCTCCCCCCCCACGTTTTCCCCTCTCCCTGTGCCCGTGGCCTCCTTTTCATATTCACAGATTCTTTTGGCTGATGACGTCTGGGAAGGAAGCTAATTTCATTTTCTGCCAGGAGGAGATGAAGTGGAAAATTGCTCTAGAACTTTCTCTGCTGTGCGCGAATTACCGACGGTGAGAAACAACGCGGAGGCAGCTTGGGAACAGGCAGGGGACGGTGGGCAGGGGAGGGAGGGGACCCCGGGGCCCATCCTAACCAGGGGGCTGGGCTGTCAGAGGTTCTCAGGCGGAGAAAGGAGCAGATGGAGCTGGGGGCATCCCAGTTTCCCTTCGCTTTTTTTTTTGCTTTTCCGTCTGGCGCGCATGTAAAGGTAACGTTTAGAAGGTGACTTTTCCTTCTGCAGCACAAAAGCGGGTTACGGCCGCCGTGGGAGAGGGCGTGGCACAGGAGAAAGCCGGGGGGCAGAGCAGGTGTGTCGGGGAGCTGAGCTCCCTGGGGGGGCGGCTTCTACCCCGAAGGTGCCCGAGCCAGTCCCCCCCTGACCTGCCTCCGCCCTCAGCGGGCCAGGTTCTCCGCCGCAGCGCCCCCGCCCCGGGTACCTTTGCGCAGGACTCGATGGAGTTGCTCTCGTCGAAGGCCTGGCAGAAGATCGAGGCCAGCCTCCTATCCAGGTCTTGAATTTTGGTCTCAAAGTCAGCGTAATCGTCATTGAAATTCTAAAAGGGAATTAAAACGTCAACCTCTTTTATTAAAAAATATGTTTTGCCCTGGCCGGTGTGGCTCCGTGGTTAGAGCGTCGGCCCACGGACTTGAAGGGGCCCTGGGTTCGGTTCCGAACAAGGGCATGTACCTCGGCTGCAGACTCGATGCCCAGCCCGGGCCCCAGCTGGGGCATGTGCGAGAGGTAACCAATCAATGTCTCTCTCTCATACGGATGTTTCTCTCTCTCTCCCTCCTTCCCTTCCACTCTCTCTGAAAAAGCAATGGAAAAAATACCCTCCGGTAGGGATAAAAAAATGAAATAAAATAATAAAAATAGATGTTTTTATTAATTTTAGAGAGAGAGGAAGGGAGAGAGAAAGAAACATCATTGTGAGGGAGAAACATTGCACGTCCCCTACTAGGGATCAAGCCCACGACCTGGGCCTGTGCCCCGACCTGGAGTCAAACCAGCGGCCTTGACCTTTTGGTACATGGAGGGTGCTCAGCCAACTGAGCCACACGGGCCAGGGCAAAACATCAGCCTCTTTGCTGGCATGCAACGCAGGGGCGGTGCTCACCCTAAACCAGCCCCTCTCCTGCCGGCAGGACTCTGGTGACGTCCCGGCTGAGCATGCGCCCTGCCTGGGACCTCTCCACGCGCAGTTTTCGTGACATCTTTCAGTGTTGGGATCGTCCGCCCGCACGCCCCTCCGTGGGCCTCCCGCCCCCTGGGGCCTCCGTCATCGCTCCAGCCCAGGCCCCAACCCACCAAATCTCCGGGGTCCAAGGGGTCGTATTTGCAGTCAGCAAAGACCTTCACCAGCTCGAAGACCTCCTCGTGGATCTGCGTGACCAGGCTTCCCAGGATGTTGCCCCGCACTCCCCCCACCTCGATCTTCTCCAGCTTCAGAAACTCGATCGCCGTTTTATAAAGGTCCTGGTGGAGCAAGAAGCCAGGACGCCAATCGGTCCGTGTTCATAACCACACTCAACGGCTCAGCCACGAATCCAGCTCTGGGACCAGCGGAGGAGCCGGGGAGCAAGCGGGATACCCCAGGGCCACGTGACCAAGGGGGGCTCTGTGTATTTGGGCGAATGCTCTCTGAAGTCATTTCTGGAACTTGGAGAGAGGTCGAAGGAAGGGTTCTATGAATTGTCTCCGAGTCCTGACCACAGAGGAGGTGGTGATGCTGGGTCCTTTCCTGACCTTACACCGGCCGGAACAAACAACCACACAGTACGGGCCCTGCTTCCTCGCCTCGGAAGGAAGCGGTTTCTGAGGCTCTTGCTAAGCTTCAGATTCTCTGCTTCCTGGGGAGACCACCCCACACTCTGAGCCCGTCCCTGGGGGGATCTGAGAGGACACCCTCACATACGACGCCCGATGGGTGCCCCCGTAAATTCTACTTCCTCTGAGGTGCCGCTCACCCCTCTTCTCTAGAACCCCCCACTCGCCGCCCGTGCTCCCGGCTTTGACGTTTAATCACACCCATTAACTAGCGCTTCTGCGCGTGGCTCTTATTTTCTGATCGAGGCCCCAAAGCCTCCCTGAGGGCCACGAGCGGAATCTGACGCAGGCAGATGATGCGAAAGGTGCTCAGATCAGTTCCCGAGGCCGAACGGGGTCCCCAACATGCACGAGCTGCGTCGAGCGACCACCAGAGCAAACCCAGTGAAAGCCATGCTTGGCCATGCCCTGGGCTTTCGGGCTCTTCCCCGGGAGGAGGAGACACGGGGCTGCAGCCCACGGGCGGGGGGTGGACAGCAAGACGGCCTCTCTCACCCCCAGGGCCCCTCTGTTCCGCGATCTCTACCCTGGCCCAGAATCGGTGATGCAGGACCAGCAGCTACATGGCCAGAGCCTGACTGGGCCCCGCAAGTCCTCCGGGCACGAAGACACCCCCCGTGGCTGAGACCCCGACAGGCCCTCCCGAGGCCACTGCCGATGGCGCCCATCACATAACCGACCCTCAGTGGTTCGAGGGTGGCTTCTCCCCTTTTCACGAGGTGCTGAACATGTTCACAAAGTTTTAAAACCCCCACACAGTTTAAAAACACAAGGCAACACCTCCTCACCCTCCACGTCTCACCTCTGGCCCTCAGAGGAAACCACCCTGAACCGCTGTCACCTGCTTCCGTTTTCATTTAAGGTCCTCATCGGCGCTGACTTAATCCCGCTGGCCCTGTCCCCTCGGTCTCCAGGCCTCCTGACCGGTCAGCCCCTGCGTCATTTAGCCGCTGCTCGAAGGCAGGAGGCAGGAGCCGCGGGCGGAGCCACCAACGGGCCCCTTTGGCTCCTGGCTCACGGCCCCGGGCACGCAGGAGGCCGGCCCGAGGCTCCGTTTCCCCACGACACCGGTGGGGGCGGGTGGCAGACGCGGCTACACCCCGGCGAGGGCGGCCTGGGACGCGCAGGGAAGGTGAGCCCGACTTCCCCTTTACCTCAATGGTCTGGATGCGATGGAAGAAAGAGTTTATTCTGGAAAACGCAAGGGAGGATGGGAATTCCCAAGGCACCAGCTCCTTGCCCTCCTGGGAGAGGGGGAGAGGGGGAGAGGGGAGGGGGCTGAGCCGGTGCCCACGTCACTCTCATGCCTTCCGCCCGGTGCCCGCGTCAACCCCACCTCGCTAACGCCCCGCCGGGTTCCGCCGGCCGGGCCAGGCTGGGCCGCACCTTGAAGAAAAGCTTCATGTTTGCGCAGCAGAAGTCGTAGGTGCGGTGCAGGCCCCTCAGGACGGCCACCGACAGCGAGATCCCGTTCAGCACCTCCTCGATCTCGCCCTGCAGGCCTTTCAGCACCTCCTCGGGGCCCAGGAAGGTCCGGGTCTGGGTCGAAGACAAGACATCGCTCAGCTCTGGAGGGCCGCGTGGGCCGCGTGGGCCGTGTGGGCCGCGTCTGGGTGCACTGCCGTGGGCTGTCAGGCCCGTGGGAAACCCGCCACCGTGGGCCCCGCGACCTGCTTCTCAGGACGCAACCCATCTGCCCGGTGCCGGGGGCTCTTCAGGAGCCTGAGCGGCTTCCCTCCCCGGGCCCCCCTCCCCCGCGAAGGCTCACAGGTGACTAGGACTCTGGGGGTGAGCCCGGGACACCCTGCTACGGGCTGCAGGGCTCTGGGCTGCAGTGCCCTTAGGGGCCTGCAGACAGGGCTGAGAGCATGATCTTGGTGCCCCCGGGCAGCCCGGCTGGCTAATGGTGCTCGTGAGGAGGAGGAAAGAGAACCTGTGTTGAGGGAGACAGGAGCCAGCTCAGTGCAGGGCCACAGGAGCCCACAAAGCCCCGGCCAAGCCCCCCGCTTTCCTCCTTCTGACAGAGCTGGGGGTCCGGCCGGCACAGCCCAGGTCTCGGGAGAGCTCTGGGGGGCCACCTAGAAGCTCCAATTTAGCCCATGGCCTGAACACCCCTGTGCCAAGCTCTGCGTGTCTCTCACCCGCCGGGGAGGCCGGGC